CATCAGCTCAACATGTTTACATAATTGAAAATGTACATTTCATTCCTGTTGTATGTTTCTTTTGATATACCAGAATATGATTAAACATGCATTAAAAGCGAAAAGAGAATTCGACATTCAATAATATCTAATATGAGCAATAGTTGCACATACAAATAATGAAATGTCTTTTATCAAATTAACGCAACGAAAAATCGAAAACACATTTATTTATATACGCAACTTGATAACAATCTCTGGACAAAGGAATGCGTATACTAATTCACCTGGATAGATATTCTAAGGATAAGTCCTTCAAAATATACGAATTTTTTTCGATATCCCATAAAAACCAGTGAAAAAACATATATTTCATTCTATCTGTGCGTATCTTTTCATGCGAATTATAATACTAGTATACAAAAGCTTAAACTTTCGATTTAACAACAACAAACTTAGATAACAGCTTTAACACAAATTGTTCAGATGTGATCATGACTAGTTCAGTCGTCCAAGAGATTTGCTGCAGTAAAGAGAAGTGATAGGCCGTAATCAGGCTCGCTGGGATCTTTGCCTTCGGTCTCCGTGCATGTGACTGCAGTCTCGGCTTTTTGTGGTGCTTGCTCGGGGAGTGACCTTAAACTCTCTTCTAKCGCTAATTCTAGMAGATGATTTTMTTCCTCAAAAGTAGATGGAAAATTATGCTTGGAAGACACAGTACTRTTTGGAATTACTCCACTCCCTGGGAATTTAATTCCTTTCTGTTCCCAAAGTCGCACGACGGGGTTTACATGATGTGCCCTAGACGTCGAGACAGAAGTCGAAGGGTCTTTRCTGTCTGTGTCTTGTAGAAAATCAAATCCTTCGTCATACTTGGCTATAAGCCCTTGCATTTGAAAAGTTTCTGGAACCTTTCCCTTGCAGATTTTTTCAAGCTTTCTAATGTCAGTATTTATAATCAGCCAGTTTGGCACAAAGTCTCCAGTAAGATTCTTTCTCAGATACTTATCAGGGTTGGTATTAATCAGACTTGACTGGACTTTAGCTGCAAACGTATTGAGCGACGAGGCATAAGATTGCTTTTTAGAAATAATATCTTCCTTTAACTGCTTGGTTTTACTTTTTAAAGACTTCAACTCCGACTGCAATTTCTTAACAGTCTGTTCTTCCTGTGGATGTCGTTTGATATCTTTACATTGAGTCGCGGAGGGACAAGGCGGGAAGTTGCAAATTGCTTTGTTATGCCCAGCTGAATGGCAAATTGAACATGCTGGAGGCTTTTTGGTTCCAGAAGCTGTAGAAACTCGAGGTTTACAGGTGTTTAAAAGCTCATTCAGTTCACGTTGCTTTTTTTCAACTGTTTCTTCGGCGATCTGCTTTTGCTTTGAAAGACGCTCGAAGAACTTTTCAGTAGGAGACGTGTACGTTTTGCCGAGTGATTCCGTGCTGTCGTTGAATGCAAGTTTCTTTGCTGAATGAGACCTTGGCTTTTTGGTTACATGTGCACTACTTCCTAAAGATTTAGAAGAAGGAGAAGGAGAAGGAGATACTCTTGGACGCTTTTGTGACATGCCCGTTTGATTTTTACCGCCATCTTGAGGTGTCAGGGATAACATGTTTACCTTTAATTGAATCACTTTTAAATTTACACGGGTAGAATCCCTCGCTGTCTCGATCATATCAATAAATGAGTCAATATCCTCTATTTGCAAGTCAACCCAGTCCTCTTGAATGTCTAAATATTTAACAGCGACTTCTTTGCCAATAAGACTTGGCGCTTTTTCGACAATTCTCTGCATCAGCGAGGAAAAGTCTAGACTTGTAACTTCTTCTGAAGTTAAAAACATCTTGATGCACCTTTCTTCACTGCCAATTTTGAGCTTGAATTCATACTTGAGGTTTTCCATTTTAAACAGAGCGTGAATGAACGTTACAGTACATTCAGTTCAAAGCGTGGCCGTTCTTTGACAAGAAAGTAGGCGTGGTCGTAACACAAAAATTCGGGCCCATTCCCCRGTTCGGTGATTTTAGTAGTAAACTGAATGGCACGAGGCCTTT